TTCATTATTCAATGTATCAAATGTAGTTCATCCTATTTGTTGGAATTTAGAAACGCTACGGCAATTTCACTTTACAGTGAATTCAATTTCTCAATGATTACGACATGACACGATGTCAAATGATCTCCGCTCCATTGCTTTTACCGCAGAGGTGGTTTTCCTTTCCATCGCTGATTACATCGATCATATCTCGCTCACTTATCACTTATCTTAATGAGATTGTGTCAAAAAGTGGTTACTATTCTTCCACTAATTAACAACTTTATAAAATACAAGCTATTTAATGGTCTTCCGATGAAATATTATACAAACCGATCGATTACGGTTCTTTTACCGATTGTATATGCGGGGAAAAAGTTCGGAAGAAGTTACTCCTACCGCTTCAATTCGTTCAATTTATTTGCAGCAGTTAATTTGCTGATTTAACGATTCCTATTCTTTTCATATAACATATACTATTTCCATATGTGTCTATTTTTTGTGCTTCTGAGATGAACTGCATTTTTTCTACTAAATTTATTTAACTTAGAGATGCAAATTCTCCAATGAACGCTGTCTAATGCTAGCCATTGTGCAAACCGTAATTCAAACTCAAATACTGCTTTTCAGTGGCGCTGTTTGATTATTCAATGTGGGACAATGAATTTTTTTTTTCGCTTTTAATGAAAAACAAGAATTAAAGGCAAGAATTTAAATGAAGGATAAAAATTCAATGAAAATATCTTTTGAAGCATAAAATGGCATGTGTTCCTTCCTCCATTCCCTTGTTACCCATTTCCGCCGTATAAGGCATGTTTCTTTTCTAAATTGTAAAAAGTGGATTTACGCCATTCTGATCAGTGAAATGAATTTAAACTATTTCATCATTATTTCATTTCCTCTTTTCTGCAAACATCGATCGATTGAAATGATCATTTTTTTTAAGATGAATTGCGATGTCTTCTTGATGAACGTAGTATTTATCGTAATTTCTCGGGTACATTGTGACTTTCGAGTCTTCGTCATACCTTTAGAAAGCGATACAGACCAGGAAATTTTACCCACTTTTTATTCGTTTCAATTTTTTTCTTGCAAACTTAACTTATCACTAGCACTTTAATATGGACCTTGAGGGATCCAGCATTTTGTGCAAAGTGCCACCATTTTCTACGATATATGATTTCTTCTAATTTATCCAAGTTTTAAAAATTTTTAAAAGAAGAAAATCGTAAAGTTCACACAAGTTACACTAAATAATACTGTAATGTCCAACAATTATTCAATTTACAGGGAAATGTAATGCAATTTTCGATATCAAATTGTTGACCATCAAAGGGGAAGTGTCCTTGAATAAAGAAGGAGCGGAGATGGCTAGAGAGGCGTAAAGAGAAAAGGTTTCTTGAACGAGACATTCTTTTCTTTAAGATTTTTTTATTGAGAGCTGGAAGGTAGGGAGGAGGAAAAGGGAGGAGAAAGAAGAGTTTCCTTTTTTTTTCCTAAATTTCAAGTTTAACTCCTTTATTGACCTGGAAATTCAATTTTATGATATGTATCTTTAGCAAAAAGTCTAAATAATATCAGCTTTATTACCTCTCGCCTTTCTAAATCATACGATTTATTGCTAACCTATTATCCCCGGTCAATTCTGAATTCGCGGGTCATTCTTCTATCTCCGTAGTGACAAAGTTTGCCGTGATGTACAATTTTCAAATTTGCAACTTGTCAACTCTTCTTCAGAAAAATTAGCAAACGATCTTTATTGCACGCTATATGTTTTGATCAGTAAAACGGTGAAAAATCTTCACTATTCTTATGTTATATCTTTCAAATCTTGAAATCATTTCATTCATCATAAATTTAGTTTTTAAAGGAAATTATCGCTTTTTTATTTTTTCATTTTATTGGCTTTGTATTTGTCTATCTGTGTGGAAGATTTCACTAAATGAGAAATAATGATAGAGATAGATCTGATTGAGTGACCAATTAAGTAAGCATAAATGGTTTCAATTTCAAATCCATCCCTTCCATCTATCTCTCTCTTTCTGAGAATTTAACTATAATACATCTTAATCTGAATTCTTTTAACGGAAACAGTTCACATTTCTACAAATTCTTTTAGACAGCATATTACATTCCTATGAAATTAATTGTCAATTCACCGAATATTTTCCAATTTAGTTTAAATTCTTTCAAATTCATTATTTCGCATCATTCATCCATACCAATTCAGTTTGATTATGGCAGTTTAAGAGGTGTTAACCGAAGTGTCCTCAGAAGTCAAAGGTCAACATCGAGAGCAAAGATAATATAAATTGGGAAAGTTGAAATAAACTGATAGCGTCATTTGGAAAAGGAGGGAGTGATGGAAATGTTTGCTGTTGCAGTAGTAACTGCAGGATGTAGAATGTCTGCATCGATGGTGTAACAACTCGATCTAATGAGGCCCAACATTCTCGACCTCTACTTCATCTCCTGTCTCTTTTTGCACCAATTAATTCAAATGAAACAAATGTTTAAGTCCCATATCCTTCCTTATTCCTTTTTTTTCATTTCATTCCATTTTATTACCTTACATTTCAAACTTTTCCACTTTTTTCTCTTTAAATTGACAAGTAAAGCAAAGGAAAGTTCATTGTTAACCATACGGTTTTCATTATCTATCATTCGCCTCTCTTTTTCCACAATAAATGAAAGCATATGTCCTTTCTCAATGTGTATTATGTTTAAAATCAATGCATCAACCTGGCCTTTACTGCATCCCATTCCGGTATATTCCGTTCTATTCCGATATAATCCGGTAAAACGATACTTAATTCGTTTTTAATTCTAACACATGCGAAATTTCCATCATCTTTTCGCTTCATCAAATTTGCCATGTTATTTATGTATGAAACGAAATGAAGAATATTTTAAAATAAATTTTGATTTTAAAAAAGTAATTTTCAAAATTTTCCAATGATTATGTTATTATCTTTTATTAGATATCATCTTAAATAATGAATTACTCTTACAGCTTGTAGAAGTCATGCAGACATTTTGAACCAATTTTTTCATTTTCGACATTTCAAAATAAACTCAAAGATGATTCCGGATTTTTAGTATCATTTGAACTCTGCAAGTTTTTTTTGGCAGAATGTATAGTTTGGTAATTTGATTTCTTTCCTCAAATATAAAGATGTTTCCCGAAATATTTGAGAATAAATATCATTCTCGATTCAATGAAACTCTCTTGGTTGATTGTATATATTTTACAAGCATTGTATATATTATATAATATTTGTATATATTATATAATATATAATATTGTATATATTGTACAATATATATGGTATATATTATATAATATATAGTATTCTATATATTATATAATGTATAATATTGTATATTTTATATTTATGGTTTTTATTATATCAATTATACGAAGAGATAAAGGACATAACCGTAATTAAAAAACACAACAAAATCAAGTTGTCATTTCATCAGCAAAAATATAAAACACACTTAAAGAAACCAAAATTCGTGAACCGATCTTCCATTTTGCAATTCTAATCTCATTCCACTGCTTGACCTGTTTGACCTTCAATTTCGTAAGTTGCCAATATCCGCCTACCTCCAATGTAAGTTTATTTCGTAACTCTTACTATTCACGTTTCATCCAAGACTGTTCCATTCATACTTCACATCTATGGAAACTGCAATAAAATCTCTAAGGATTAAGAGTGAATGAAAAGATGGAAGTCAGTACTTTTAGTCTTGACAATTGCATATATTGAATCATGGCTGCATGCAATGCATGCATATACGTGCGTAAATATATATGTATGTATTTATATATGTACATAAGTCTACTTGCGCATAAGTTGAGCGACAAATGACTGTATAGTCATGGGAAGGATTACTATAATGATGGTTGTGTTTACAGAGTTTGGGTTCTCTTGAGAAATGTGATACGTTTGCAGGTAATCTGAATGAATAGCTCAGGTTGAATCCTTTGTGTCAATGACAAAGATAGTGATGTGAAGATGGCTTCAGATGATATTGTTGCTCTGGTTGAACCATGTCGGACAAAATACCGATGAACGAACGAATGAATGAGTTGCTGATCACTCCGAATGATTGGTCAGCACTTTTCTCTTTTTATTTCAACTTTAAGTTATTACTGCTAAACTATTCTTGAGTTAACCTTTGAATCGCAAATATTCGTTTGAACCGCTGAAATTTAATTAAATGAAATAACTTTATGAAAAATTCCAAATTTCTAGTTTCAATTTCACAGATGAGTTCCAAATTAAGTTTTAACTTTATAATGTGGAATTTGTAGAAATTTTGCAAATCGTTTGGAAAAATAATTTTATCAAATTTTGAAGTTTGAAACATAAAAAGATTTAGAAAAATTCATCACTTTTCTGAAGGATTTCTCTTATGAGTACTTCATTCTGCAATAGATTGCAAGGATGACGTGTGCATTTGAACGTTCTCCCAACATGAAAATAGGAAAATCTGGAGTTTAGTCACATAAAAATAAAAATAAGTACCATATATTGTAGAAATTATTATGAGCACACCTTGATTTTAACCCTAATTTGAACGAATATTTCTTTTCGTTCAGAATACTTTTATTCTTCTCAATATATTTTTCTGCTAAGAAAATAAAAGATTTCTTATCACTCGTTCAAAATAAATCATTGCCATTGATAATATTGACGTGGAATTTAAGGTATGACAGGTACTAACAAAAGTATTCAGTGAAGAGAGTGTAATGATTGCTTTAAGATCCAACAAGATGTCTCAGTGAATTTCATTCAAGGATCATTAATTTGTATAATGACATGGTATCTTAGTCAAGACAAGTATAGTTTATGTAATTTGAAATAGTTATTTGATTCTAATTGGTTTTAGGTAATCTTAATTCTTCATTGTTTCCAGCTTAATAAACTTGGAATTTTTAGTATGATTCAGCAGGATATATTAAACTTTAGGTTTTATTAGATTCAACGTTTGCTACTTTCCTGGTTACGGTAATGGCATTGTCATGGCGTAAAGGCAAGGGACGATTGCGACGAATGACGCGATCTATCTTTCCCACGTTACTCGGTATGATCGTTGGCATATCTGCAACTTTGATTTTCACAGCTGTAAGGCGTTTACCACATGATATCTGCAGCAAGCTTTTGATGCAAGTACGTACTCTTATCTTTTAAATTTTGAAAATCTTGAATTTCTTATCATCCTGTTAGTAAGCATTTTCAATTTCATCCTTTGGTACTTTTCGGGAGTTCAAAACATCGTTTTCATTGAACAAATTCAGATTTTAAGCATAAAAGTAGCGGTCAATTGTGAGTTAAATGTTGACTTCTTTATTACACTCTTTTTTTTCGGACTTGTTTTATTTAATTAAGAAAGAGATGGTTCAAGAAGTAATCGATAAAACATTATTAGACTCAATTTTTTCTTGCTAAAATGATACGCGTTTATTTTCAATGATTAAATACCGACAGTAAATAGTCAAATGCTCTTTTGACATAAATTCATCATTCCTTTCAGTGGTACTATAATCGAAATTAGAAAAGTTAAAATGACATAAAATTAGGAAAAACTGGATGATTCGAAAACTTAAACATTCCAATAGCTACTTGTGTATTGCGCATGTCACATACAGTTTTGTATTCAATTTAAAACTATCGCATAAACCCTTCAATAAAAAAAAAACCCTTCAATAGATATTCTCCACCACCTCAATATCCAATTTGAATTGACTAATATGTTTGTAGGGTAAGAAGGCCTGTGGTTATATTCATTATCATTTCAAATATAGTTACAGTGTACAATAGATTATAATGACTCCTAATTAAAGTTATGGTTGCAGAATAAAGAACCTCAGTTACTACTTGTTGGTGTGATGACAGCAGCAAAATACGTGGACACAAGAGCTTATGAGGTTTGGAAAACATGGGCACAGCATATCCCAGGAAAAGTTAGTTTTACAAGTTTGAAGTAACTTTATCGAAAGTCTTTGAATTTAACATAAAATCAATTGCAAAAGTTTTCAGAATATCATTTTAAAATTTAGCTACTATTTTTCGTAGCCGAAGGGACAGTAACCATTCATACTGATATGCCAGTGATTCGTTTGAAAGGTGTCACTGACATATATCCACCACAGAAGAAGTCATTTGCAATGTTGAAATGGATGGCCGATCATTACGTTAGTTATTTAAACTTTTCATTTATTTTTGTTTATTTAATACTTGACTAAATAATATAAACTTATCGTGAGATAAATGATGATGGATTTAACTTAGGCATAGCTGAATCTTTGTTTATACCTAAATTTATTAGATGATTCAGCAGGTAAGTGAAAAATCGGTATTGCTGAATTTTTGATACTGTCTATGCGATAGAAAGCAAAGCACACAGATGGACTTGTGGGATTACTGTTTATCGAATTAATCCTTTCCCACAATGCGCAATCTCCATTTCGATTTAATTTTACTTCCACAATAAAGAAATTTTACTTTTATTTTTTAAATTTCGTGAAAGGAATTAACAGAACGATGAAAAGAAGCAGTGGGATCGCCAAATAAAGGGATCCATGAAATGGGCCAGAAAAATGAACATTTTCTCTTTTGTATAAGATTAACCATAAAGAAAACAATTTTGTCTGACAAAAAGAGAAAATTTCCAGCGGGAAATTCTTAATTCTTTCAACCAAAAATTTCTTTTCTGCTATATTTTGAAATTTGATTTGTTTCAAAAAATCAATGACGTAATGGTCAAACAGTTAAATAATTAGGTT